CAATCATGGCGACACTGAGATTCTCTTGGTTCCTCCTTGCAATGTGCAATCCAAGTGTACTGTACTCATTTCTGTTACATAAATTGTTGTGTTTGGTATGTGAAAGCAGAGGAAATTGGAGCGAGGGCCTTGCCAACCTGTGAATCTATTTAGCTAATGTAATTAGATAATGTAATTAGTTGTTCTTTTTTAATGTAATTAGTTGTTCTTTTTTATATAATTAAAATGGATACAAATTTCTATATTGTATTCAACATTATGTTTGCTTAAAATCTAAACTTAAATTAAAGGTATGCACCTATTTATAACAGCCTCATCCACACGAGTCACCTCTTGGATGAGGGAAGTTGATTGTGTATTTTTATTGTATTGTGTAAATTGAAGAATTAATAAATTGAATTGAAATTGAATTGAAATGAGCAGGAGAATTTGTTGGAAGGAAAACCTAGAAAATCAAATGAATGAATAAAGTAGATAATTTTTTTACCGGCTGGGAAAATATTTGTTGCTATTTAAGAGACAAGCAGCGCCGTCTAAGGTATGGCGAGTGTAATCTATTGCAGGACATTCTTTCGGTTGTTTATGTGCAGCACACAGGAAAATCCATTGTTCAGTGGCAGTCATGTGTAAGCAAGTCTCTGATTGACATTCTGCTTGTAACCTTACAGCAAGACCATTTAGCTCCAAACAAAATTGTCTGTAAACAACAAATTACAACATCAGACTTCATAAAATCACCAGAAACTGCATTACTTGTTTGCAGCAGCTGACTATCCTTTTGTATTACACAATGGAAAAGGAACAGAAGATACCTTGATTTTTGCCATCAAATAAATTTTAATTCCAAGTTTCATTCACTAAAAAGGAGGAAAGGCAGTAATTAAAGAAAAAATCACAAATTAGGAGTAAATTAAAAAGTGCAAAAAGTTCAACAATCAGAAAATGACAACTGAAAACTTTGCTTCAAGAAAAGAGGACTTTCATTAAAATTAGATATTCCCTGTATTTGTTGCTGTCTCGGCGACGAAAATGGTGGCTAAAGGACTGAGTCAAGTAACCAGTTCAGTCTGCTGTATAAGAGTTGAAACGCGGATTTATTGACTTTTCATGCAGCCACAGCTCAACAAAGCCGTCTTCTGACGTTTGAAAGCCATCATCTTTTTGTTAATGCACTGAGCAGGTCTTTAGACTCCGCTCATCAACCATACCTCTTTTTACTCTATAAATTTATTCCCAAATGAGACTGTTGCAAAATTTTTTCATTAGAAATTAATTTTCGGAAAATAAGTAAAATATAAGAATACCAGCATTTTTCCATATTACAATTGATCAAATTTCGGCTGAGGAGAAGTCTTCCTGAGTCACCAAAAATCCAACCCCATTTCAAATAAAAAAATATCATGCCAACAGATTTCATGTCATAAGAGGGCTTGGCAGCCATGTATTCTTTCACTCCCGTTTGTTCATTCACTTACAAGGCACAATTGAATCAGTTTCTGTAAGATAGGCGTAAGTCCAAAAATGCATAACCCCTGACTTTTTTTGATCTTATAGGATGCTAGAGATTTTGAGTTTTTCGACTTACGCCTGTCTAGCAGAAACCGATTCAAATTGTAACGAGAGATTATGTATCTTGACTATACTCGCAATATTATCCCTGCTTAAAATAAACATTTTTATTACTTTTGTAAATGAAATGATTAAAATCATACCTTGGCCATATTACATTCAATTCAATGTGGTCAAATCCATGGGTTTCAGGTCAATGAGAAACATTTTTTGTAACTTCCGACCTCAGGCCTCTATTTTTATTAGAGAAAAATGCAGTCTGGCGATTTCTAAGCCTCTTGCTACTTGCTATCATTTACATACTTGAGCACCTAATGCTAAGGAAATTCCTGAATCTTAAAGTAGCCTTGCTGGTAAACATCATACACTTACCTCAGGTGCTCATATTTCCATACACCTTCATCTTGAGAATCTGGAGGGGTGAGGATCAAATCAACTCGGGAAGGATCCCGTCTGACTTGTTGCTGTATGTACTGCTGAACAGCCAAAGTACTATCCATTTCTTCAAAAGATTCATCTGGCCAATTGTAGAAGTCCTGCACACAAACAAAAAGAAATATTCATACAGGTCGTATAAGGATCTTCCAGAACATACCTTCTCACCTCCATGCAGAGTTTTGCTTTTGTTGAAATAATGAAAAAAAAAGCAACCTCTGCCACATAACTTGGATTTTGAGTGAAGCTCTTTCCGATATTCTGATCGCTGCTTGAGGTGTTAAGTATACTTGTGAGCTGAAGCATTTCCAATGAATGAATGGCTACCATGATTCAATATGCTGTAATCGAATTTCCTCTTGTTGCGCTAGGTCAAGCATTACTTGATGGAGGCAGTGAAACATTTGCATATCGGTTTCGCTGTCCGCTGCTCCTACTGGGTGGGTTATCAGCAGGACGTAGTCTGCCTCCGCCCGAATCTAATTCTAGTGCCTTCAAGTCTTAAGGCATGGAATGTGAGCCAGCTGTACAGAGGAAAATTAATGCTTGAGATTTTTAATGGAATCCCTCTGACGTCTCCAACCTTCTGAAAACAGATCAATAAGCAAATACAACAAATGTTCTCTAACCTTAGCCTTGGTTCCAG